ATTAATATTTATCAATAAAAAAAAGCATTAACAATTATAAATCAATAAATACCGGAAGAAATCTTATTTTTAGTGTTTTCTAGTGTACAATAATTTTAAATAACAAATCGTCACTTTGCGTATTTTTATTAAGTTGCAAGGCTGATGCATTCAGGAATATGCATTGCATATATATGTAGATTATACATAGAATATCCAGCTCCTAGAATCGTGTGAAACGGATCCATTATTTCATTTGTTTAATTCGTAGAATAAGACGCAGTTGTTGTTATTTGCAAGGACGAATTCTAACCTCGCCTTTATTAGTCTAATAGACACTTTTGCACGATTTTCAAAGTACTTATCAAACATTAAAAGCATTGTTGACCATCTATGAACAAGCAGACCGAACAAACAAACACATTTCGCGAATTCTAAATCCCATGTGTGACGATAGTGCCAAGAGGTCTCAAGTCGTTTGTTAATCTTCATAAGTACAGATTCGTTTAATTAACATGTACCAATTAATGACCGTTTCTAAAATCATATAGAAGACGACGCGTGAAACAGTTTTTATTAAAAAAAAGAAAAAAAGAACGTTCCTTCGTTTACATGACTTGGTCTTCTAATTTTGAATCGAAAACCATTAAATGAAAAACCACAATGTTATAACGTAAAGTTCTTCGGTCACCTTGTTTTGTTTTAATGGTTGACAAAAAGTAGTCTGCTTCGGCAGAACCGTATCTAGGATGTATGTCTATATGTATAAGAAAGTATTAACAACTGAACAATGTCTTTCGTTTCAGAGTTTGCCCCCTCCGTTCTAGACAATGATTCAATCAAGGTAAGAGTTTTTATTTTATTTAATTAATTGTAAACGAAGAAGATTTGTAGTGTACACTTGTTACACGATTAGATGTCAAGAGGTTAACGTTGCTTTCTAACTTTGGTCCGGCCCTGTACGGAATCTATACTGTCTGGTGTGTCGGACCTCCTTGGAAAAACCGCGATTGTCGTCAACTGTGTCGATTACTTCTATTATTTTCCCATATCCGTCAATTTGCTTTGCTACACTTAATGACTATAGAAGCCGCAAAACATGCAAATAGTCTTAACAATAAAATTATTTATTGAAATCTTCTTCAATGGACACAAAACTTGCATCACACCATTTGAAATTAATTACATTATAGTGCTGGTCAGAATCTGAATTAATAAAATTGATAAAGGTGCCAAAATGACCTTCAAAATATTTACGAATATTTTATGATGTATGCTAGAATTTTATGCAGTATAATAAAGCTAAAAGGCGAAGATATTCAAATTAGCGAAAGGATATCAAAGCGTTTCTAAATTTTTTATTGCAGTGATATTGCAGAAACAACTTTTGCTTAATTATTAATGTAGGTAGATATATATAACACGAGAAAAGCATTCATTTTGATAATGTTTGCCTGTCGTTATTGACATTTATCATTTTCAGGTTAAGTTTAATTCAAATATTTCAAATAAAACTCCAGAAGCCTTCTAAACTCAGTAATATTTGTAGGAATATGACAATGTCATAAATTTAAATTTAAACATTTCAAACACATTCCAATGCTAACTTTTATGAGTTTTCTTGAAACAGATATATGGGTTTTTGATTAATTTTATGGTTTCGATAATTAGCTTATGTATATACCTGTAGTTAGATTAGTTCCTTGTACTTAGTGGTAACTGTTTCAAGGGCGTCCATAATAATTTTCCGCAATAACGAAGAAAAACTTACTTAATTGCATATTATTAACAGTAAAAGGCATAAAATTTGCAAAAAATGAAAATACTAAGGAAACGTTCGACAAATTATATTTTAAAAATTTCGCCATCGTTTCTCTGTGATCAGTTAGAATCCATTTAATGTGATAATAATAATAATGTAGTTTTTTTACTTGTTTTTCAAATATTTATTCAATTTGAAAAAGATAATGGTGCTGGCATAGAAGCCGCTCTCTGCAGTTGTAAATGATCTGCAGTTTATTAAGCTTTGCATGAGTGAAGTTAAAACACATTCCATACAGGAAGGTCGGAATTGGATCAGTCGCGACCTTTGCCGCAAAACCAATCGCCACTTTTTTGAATAAATATGCATACAATGTTGCAGGCAACAGGTTTAATTGCGAAAAGATATTACGAGTAACTGAACGAACACTGAACTAATTCAAGGGTGCTTTACATGAAAAACAATAAGCAAACATTGTTGAATCGAGGAAACTTTCAGTTCTTTTAACTCCATTTAATTTCGATTTTAATGCGTTAAGAATTTTCATCATTTTCAAAAGTCCTGTCGTAATATAATATCATTCATTAAACTATTTCCCTAATCACATTTAAACCCTACCAGCGTTTTTCAAATATAAATGTGTTAAATAGATACTACTTTTAATGTTTCACTGATGTCTACCTTTTATTTATCTATGGTATCAACTTCCTTAAACAATTGCAATTTAAATTGTTTGCCACCACAACAAATCACTTTTCGGTACCGATTTAAGCAGCGTTAATGAGGCTTATAACTGCTTATGTGACATATTCAACACATGAGTAATATCCAATTAAAATTGAAATTAGTTTTAAAAACCACTGCCTAGTTAAAACAGGAAGCGTGAGGTTTTCATTTATTATTGTTTGAAGACTAAATTGAACCAAAGCAAGTCTAGACAACTATTAAAGACAAAAGGGAAGAAGCAGGTAACACACTTGTTATCGTTACCTTTTGTTGTTATAATTGTAATTATATAAATTGGATTTTAAAGCCCGATTTACACTATCGATCAAGTCACGGTCAAGTTACGCTCCAGCCACAGTCAAATCAAAATATCGTAGGAGAGAAATACCGCATTTAATTATTAACTAGACCGTGACTGTCAAGTAATCACAGCATTTCTCTTCAATGACATCTGGATCTGACTGTGACTGGACCGTGACTTGGCTATAACTTGACAGGTAGTGTGAATCGGGCTTAATCTGGATGGAAGTGTTAGATGCGTGTCGATGTCCAATTTTGACAATTCAAGCCCGATTCATACTGTAGGTTAACTCACAATCAAGTCACGGTCCATTCATAATTAAGTGAAATGTTGTAGCATATATTTCATACTATAGGGTACGATCAACTATCCGCAGCATTTTTTTTCAACGACATTTTGATCTGACTGTGACTGAACCATGACTTGGCTATGACTTGACCGGTAGTATGAATCGAGCTTATCCTGGAAGTATTAGAGGTGTGTCGATGTCCATTGTTGACAATGAAAGTCAGATTCATACTGTAGGTCAACTCACAATTCAAGTCACGGTCGGGTCATAATGAAGTGAGATATAGCATACATTTCATACTGTAGGGTACAGTCAACTAATGGCGGCATTTCTTTTCAACGACATTTTGATCTGACTGTGACTGGACCGTGACTTGACTATGACTTGACCGAGAGTAAGAATCGGACTTAACCTGGATGGAAGTATTACATGTGTGTCGATGTCCAATGTTGACAATTCAAGTCCGATTCATACTGTAGGTTAACTCACAATCAAGTCACGGTCCATTCATAATTAAGTGAAATGTTGTAGCATATATTTCATACTATAGGGTACGATCAACTATCCGCAGCATTTTTTTTCAACGACATTTTGATCTGACTGTGACTGAACCATGACTTGGCTATGACTTGACCGGTAGTATGAATCGAGCTTATCCTGGAAGTATTAGAGGTGTGTCGATGTCCATTGTTGACAATGAAAGTCAGATTCATACTGTAGGTCAACTCACAATTCAAGTCACGGTCGGGTCATAATGAAGTGAGATATAGCATACATTTCATACTGTAGGGTACAGTCAACTAATGGCGGCATTTCTTTTCAACGACATTTTGATCTGACTGTGACTGGACCGTGACTTGACTATGACTTGACCGAGAGTAAGAATCGGACTTAACCTGGATGGAAGTATTACATGTGTGTCGATGTCCAATGTTGACAATTCAAGTCCGATTCATACTGTAGGTTAACTCACAATCAAGTCACGGTCCATTCATAATTAAGTGAAATGTTGTAGCATATATTTCATACTATAGGGTACGATCAACTATCCGCAGCATTTTTTTTCAACGACATTTTGATCTGACTGTGACTGAACCATGACTTGGCTATGACTTGACCGGTAGTATGAATCGAGCTTATCCTGGAAGTATTAGAGGTGTGTCGATGTCCATTGTTGACAATGAAAGTCAGATTCATACTGTAGGTCAACTCACAATTCAAGTCACGGTCGGGTCATAATGAAGTGAGATATAGCATACATTTCATACTGTAGGGTACAGTCAACTAATGGCAGCATTTCTTTTCAACGACATTTTGATCTGACTGTGACTGGACCGTGACTTGACTATGACTTGACCGAGAGTAAGAATCGGACTTAACCTGGATGGAAGTATTAGATGTGTGTCGATGTCCAATGTTGACAATTCAAGTCCGATTAGTGCTGTAGGTTAACCCACCATCAAGTCACGGTGCGGTTATAATTAAGTTAAATGTTGTAGCATATATTTCATTTTATAGGGTACGGTCAACTAACCACAGCATTTCTCTTCAACGACATTTTGATCTGACTGTGACTGAACCGTGACTTGGCTAACTGTCAGTCAACTCACGATCAAGTCACGTCCAAGTCCAGTCACAGTCAGATCAAAATGTCATTGAAATTTAATAGCATACATTTCATACTATAAGGAACGGTCATATCACGGTCCAGCCAATTAACCACGACTTGACCGATAGGATAAGGCTTGACTTTTCTTGTTTACAAAAGCTCCTTAAAGCACAAAATTTGGACGGACTACCTTAATTCAGTTATTAGTGTTGACTAAAAGGAAGAGAGACTTAGGTGTTCGCAGCGGCCAACAGTTTGCATACAAATCAGTGGTATTCATGCAGCGGTGACGTTATATGGCTACGTAGTTTACGTAGATAACTAGTGCCTACTCTACTAGTAGTAGGCTGAGAACCTGGCTCTCCATACCACTACTTCTACTACTGCCCACTTTACTTTCATTTCGCCGAGCTTGCTGAGATCCGTCCGTTCGTACTCCAATTTCCTCAGTTCGACAGGAACTCTATTCGGTCGCGGCTAACCGCCGTAAAAGAGATGCAATTTTCGCGAACCCGCACCGGCTCGATCGTTCTTCATTTATTTCTCTCCGTTTAAATAAAAAAGCATAAGATAATTTAATGTTTTTGTTGTTGTTGTTGTGAAGAAGAAGGAAAACATTGTTAACAGGAGGAATACTATTGTGAGTGATAGCTAACCTGGTTGGAGGATTACAATAACTTACATATGCACGCGGTTTATTTGGAATGGTGTTAAAAAGTAAAAGTGATTTGAGTGTAATAATGTCGGGCGATTGTTGAACGTAATGTAAGTAAGCCAATTGTTAACCTTTAGAAAGGTAATTTTGTTTGGTATGCGCAACGGTATGAATGGAAAGTTGTGGTTGGCTATGCTTTATCCTAACTAACGTTACATTAGATTAAATAATACGAAAAGTTGGTTAAGATTTTGCTGAATATTTTCAGATTGTAGGTACGTAAGAGCTTTTGCAAATGAATCTTTCTTTTTATGCCAGTAAATTCTGCGACCGATTTTTTTTAACGATTAAGGAAACTTAAAAAATATAAAATAACAATAACCTTCGCGGTTTGATAAAATAACACCAATGATTCTTCAAATTTTTCTTCAATCTTCTTTCGAATTGTACGTGAAATTCTTTGGAAATTAATTTCTCCCTTGACGAAAAGAGCAGTTCTTTACAAAAAAAATTAAATAATGGTATTACAGTTAGTTCAAAGTTGTTTAAGGTGTTGTTCAGTTCAGTTCTGCCCATGAAAACTCTTTCAGAACTCATTGTGCCTTTTATTTTGTAAAGAAAAAATGGAATAGTAAGCGTTACAATTTAAGATATCTATAAGGAAATACATTACTGCAAACAACTCCTTACTTATAATTACCCACATCCTTACTAATCCTTTGTGGATTAAAACGAAACGGAAAGTGATGGTCAAAAAACGTTTTCAAACTCTGGCCATCATTTAGTATCATGTGTGACACACAACTAAACTTGAAAAAGCTGCGGTTTTACCAAGCAATTGTCCCATTAAATTTGTAAAAAATATTCATCAAAAGGGGCGAAAAATTGAAGGATAATCACCTACTTGAAGAGATTAAACAATATTGGAGATCCTATTTGAATTTATTAACTTTTTACTTTAAGTTTGTGCATATAGGTAAAGTATTGAAGTCAGTCTTTGTACGTCAGTAAGTTTAAATTGTTTTTCCAATAACAATTATAATTACAGGTCATTATAAACTATTCGCCAGAACCTTTTAATCGTCTATGATCGCATCTGAAATGTGTGTGACATCGGAAATTACCATACATGGCATCGATTTGGTTGTGTACCTATAAGCTTTTCAGAAATAAAAATTATTCCAATTGATGATATAATAAATTACATACACACACGTATGTATTTATGTAGAAACCGTAATTATTTGAAAACGTATTATTATTGACAGGTGGTATACCTAATTGTCGATGATCTCATTCCTTGCTAGTTTAGTTCTGTTGCCAATGCAACTGTTGGAATTTCATACGTACCTACATATACGTCGTGTCGTACATTAACAAGTTTCACTGAATTATAATGGGTGTAAAGGTTGATGCTTACGTAGTTACTTTTTAAAATATACTTTTGCGAATTAAGTTTTCAATTTGATACCGTATTTTGTAATAAAAAGAGTATTCGGAATGAAAGATTCGTAATGTCCATCAGTTGAAAGCCCAAAAGTGTGAATAAAAATTAGCCCTAATAAGTAAAACTTTAATTTCAACATCAAAAACTTTTAATTACATCCTAAAAATATTTCTTCCTAAGTAGGTACTTTACTTGTTTCAAGGAATTCTTCTTGACCATTAGGTGTAGTGAAAGTAACCATGATGCATTAAATAGATTTATCGCTCAAGCTTTAAACTTTTTCGTAACAACATCTGTGCTTAAGTAACTATTAAACTATTTTGTAACTTCTACGAATCACTGCTGAGGTATGTCACAAAAAGGGAGATATTTTAATTAGGCACACTACGTAGAATATTGTGCGTGAACAACACTGAAATAATTAAGTCAAAAATTAAGTCTAAATTGTATGGTATGCTGCCATCATTAATACTTGTAGGCTAATCTCGAGCACTGTCAGGAACCATTGACCCAAATTCTCATACCTCTTAATTACTGCGGACTTGAATTGCTCATAATTCACAATTAATTCATCTAAAATCTAGTACCTACCTAACGGTTGTTTTAACGTTAATGTAAACACGTAAACAATATCATTGTTACCTTTCTCATTATGTAAAGCTAACTGTTGAATTTCAATCTTATTGTCGCAAATTTAACTCTAACAGAATTTCATTCCAGTCGCTTCATCTACAGTTTTCATATGCAGTATGTTTTGTATGTTTATTTTTCTGCATAGCATTCAAATTTGGTTTTATTCAAATTCCAATTAAGGTCATTTTGATTGTATTTGGTTAACAAATATCTTTAGATTAATTGTTTTATTCCCAGATCAATTCATAAACACTTATACTTTAGTCCTTTTGTAATGTATTCGTATATATCCCTGGAGACTACAATGCTGCGTTAGAACACTGTACTTTTGTGTTAGAAATTTCTATTAACTGTATTCTCAAAAGTCATAATCTCAATTCATATGAAACTTCAACCATATTCAAGTTGGTACTCATTACATAAAACAAAAAGGTAGAAATAAACGTATACGTAATGTAAAAAACATTTTTCGAAATTAATTAAGTTTCTTGGTTCCTGGTTCCTTCTAGTTAGCAGGGTGTAATTGAAAATATAATTATAAAACAAGCAAATCACTCCGTAAACCTTGAAAATTAATCAATTGAATCAAACAAATGTATTTTTTAAGATGCTCAATATTATACATATGGTATTACAGTTGATGTTTTTTTAGCATCATAATAATTGTTCTCATGCATTGTAACTACAACCTGCTGAGCAAGAGATATAAGTATTATTGTCAATATCAACTTGAACAACACGATCCAACAATACGAGGCCTATTTTGTCGTTGTAAGCGACTCAAGTCCTTGACCAACTAATGTAACAAAGCTGTAAACAATTTATAAAGGACATTGTGGGAACATGTCGCACCTGTTTGATTATTTTAGTCTTTCAGCAGTGCTCTATTAAATTACCATCATTAACGGACACAAAATTATTAAATAAACGATATTTCGCATATAATAAAGTAACAACCATTTATTTTAGTATATGTATAAAATCATAAAAGTAACACTAAAACTTTATCAACTTTTTCGTCTTAAAATTAAATAAATTATTTAGAAAATAATTAGACGGAAAGATACTGATGCAAAAATCGTGATGGTTACTTAAATTACAATTTTATTTTATTTCTTTGGAATTTCAATTAAATTATTTAATAGCTATTTGTTTTGTTTATCAAACAGGTGTTTTTCATCGGAATTGTACGTTTCAAATCAATTCTTCGAACATATAAAGATGAGACGCAGATTCTTTGTAAATTATGCCATAAATTAAAAACTCAAGAAACTATGAGAAGTGAAATCATTATTTGAAAGCTTTCGATCATTTAATAAAGCACTGCGAAAGAATTTAACGAAAGAAACCATCATTATTAGTATTTACATTTCAGGTGGCTATGATCACCTTAAGGGCTTTGCCTTGTAGCTTTTTTTCTGGTTTAACAAATGCAAATACAAATTTCGTGATGAGACCGGATGCAAATCATACATTTGCATAATAACCAAATGATGTGTAACCACCAAAAATATTTTTATAATCGCCATAATTAAAATAGAAATTTACGGTGTTATTTATGTGAGTACCTATTTAATTTTCCTGTGTGCTATTAGCTTTTTGGTAAAAGTTTTCGGATTTCGATCGTTCATTACTTATTTGTGTGTTATTAAAGTGCGTGCTAGCTATTAAAGACAAGGTCAAATCATAACTCAAATTAAATCAAGTAGGTAGGTATTTTGTTTAACGGTAAATATGCCCCACCATTTATCATTTTGGATTACGCTACATCAGCTCCCATAAATATTTCTCCTTGTATACGAACATAGAAAAAATGGCACAGAAACATTTAAATTTATCTTAATCTTGTTAATTATAAGAATAAATAACTTTATAATGTTACGCTCGCTGTTTGACATGGTATCATTCTGGAGCCGTTATTCTTGGAATGTTAAATGCCAACGTTTTTCATTTTCTACATACACTGTACCAACATATGTAGGAAATAAAAGTTTTAATAATTAAGCCTTCTGCCTCACTAATTGCACTAGCAATAACAATAAAAGAAAGAACATTAATCTAAACAATTTACTGAAAAATTGTAACTGTAGAAGCTTACACAACATGTCAACAGTGTCAGTTCAAATCTTTTAATAACAGAAAACCACTTTGACACAAGAATGTTAACCCCAAACCATTGATCGATGCGATGTAGTGAAGATTGTTACTTTAAATAAGCACTGAAGAACAGCAGTAAAATTTAAATGTCACATTGCACAGCTATTTGCGTTTTATGACTAAACGGTCGTAAAATGTACCCTACACATACCTACATGTATATTCTTTTATGCACGAGCTTCTATATGTAACTATTTATTTATCCTGATTTTAATAGGGAACATGCTTGAGCATCAACTTTTGAAAAACGTCTACAGGCTTTAACAACAATAGAAAATGATTATTAACACGCATTAGTAATGTTTAATAATGTTTTCGGCAGTCATTCACATTTATTTCTTCAAATAAACCTGGAGACTTCAACAGTGCGTTAAGACACGAACCCGAAACTGTAATTTACGTCGTATTCCTTACTTTGAAGTGTTATTAAAAGAATTTTGCATCAAAATTATAGATAACTGGATACTAATGAAGTGTATTTGCTGACTAAGTGAATGTCTGTCTGTCTGTTGATTTAATTTGATGATTATTTTTTGAAAAATTCGTTGCAAAAGATAAAAATTGCCATGGTATTTGTTCTTTCAGAAACATTAAGTAGTTCTTATACATAGACGGCAGTAAAAGCTTCTATTTGTAACTATTTATTTATCATATTTTTAATAAGAAATATGCCTGATGTGTGTCAACTTTTTAAACTAAAGAAACCCGTTGTTCAAAGTTCATTTGTAAAAGTCAAACATCCACAGGCTTTAATAATAATAGAAAATGATTATGAACACGTATTGGTAATGTTTGATAACGTTTCCGGCAGTCATTCATGTTTATTTGGTCAAATAAACCTGGAGACTCCAACAGTGCGTTAAGACACGAACC